CAATTTATATGACAGTGGTCATAGACTTACTGTCTTAGCCCCTCCACTGCACTGAGGTACATTACTCTGCAGGTCAACAAGTGACTCTGCTCCTCTGTTGTTTTCTAATCGCTCACACTTAAAAATGATCTTTATAAAAACCTCCTTAATGCATATTTATGTTCCTGGATAAATGGGGCGACGCTTCTTCTGCATCAATAAAGTAAAAACACTGCGTTACGTCTTAACCTTGATGTCCTGACTGTGTACGTCACGTCTCGTGTAGCAGACTTAAACATGCGTCTCATAAACTTGAGCGGATCAAACAAGCACATAGTAAACATCAGCCCTGTACGTGTAAGTGTAAAGTGAGCACATGTCAGAGGAGTGAGGAGGAAGAAGACTCCGACAGAGACTGTTACAGGATGAATGGACCTTTAATGTGCGTCTTTCTGGTCCTGAAGCAGTTGTGGTTATAATTACTCAGCGGTGGGACATCACTAAAAACAACATGAATGGATTATGTTCTGTCTCTGCATCGATGCAGAGTCGGCCACGTCGCAATGCACCTAAGAATTAAGAAATGTCCACAGCTCTAGTGATCACCACTGTGCAGAGACTAAGTGGATGGATGATGGAAGTGATGATGGATTATAATGGCAGTAACACTACTGCCCTGCACATCAGTTAGCATACCTAAAATTCCGCAGGTGTCTCCCACAGCATCCACATATATCTTCCTCTACTAGTGTCACCCATTCTAACAGCACATCCATGAATGGCTAGAATTGTTGTCTCTCTCTATGTTACATGTAGGCGTTCGCATCCTATTGGATAGTTAAGTCTAAATATGCATTCCTAAATCACATTGTGTCCTTACGTCTTGCCACTGAAGAGTTGGAGAGGGTACATCTCTGTCTGGGACATGTGAATTAGATATAAAAATCCATGAGCGTAGACACTCTACAATGTACTGCTAGTGGGCCCTTTATCTATAACCTGACCTTGGGTACTGCTCGGAGAGAAGGGAGTATCTGTGGAATGAGACAGATGAATGAATCCATTCATTAAATTCATTCTTGCTCCTCGGATATTTCTCAGTCATTGTTTCTTACATTTGGTGGCAAGATTTTGGGATCAGGCCCAAAATCAGACTGTCCCTTACTGTTACCCATCAATTCCATCACTTTTACTCTCATTTACAAAATCAACTGGTCCACTTTTCAAAGTAGATCCACCAGAAATTCCTAAAAACTACAATAGTGACAAAGACACGTCATCACAAGTTCTTATGCGAGATATACCGGTTCACACTTAATCTTTCATTATTCTGCAGCTCTCGAAGTTATAATAATAGAAAATGGTAAATGTCACAATCAGCAATAAGGAAATAGTGAATAAAGCAATTATAAAATTTGTCATAGCACATAAAAAATACAGGCCTAGCCACCTCACATCATCTTCATTCAACATTTAAATTTGGTGACATCTTGATGTTAGGAGTAGCAACATGAAAGCATGGATCCATCCTGCCTTGTATCAACGGTTCAGGCTGGTGGTGATGTAATGGTGTGGTGAGTGTATATTACATATTCACAGACCGATTTTCAAACTGTCAGTTTCAGCATATGTCCCTAATATTTCATAGTGTGTAGTTGTTTTTTTATGAGGCAAAAGACAAATTTGTGAGTTGCTATGGTAGAATATGTAATAAGAGTGGAGCAGAGCATCAAAAGACAAACTCCAGGAGTTTATTTCTACATTCAAACATGGTCATTCAGTGTGTTTTTAAACGACGTGGAGTGTCGAAAATGTTTTTTCTTTTGCCGATGAGCTCACTATGTAGTTCTGCACATCGAACTCCCTGTATAGTGAGTAGGGGGTAGTGAATGAGTAGGGGATATCGGACACAGCCAAAGTGTCACATGATCTCAGTATAGCTACACTCATTCTTAAAAGGGATAGTTGACGAAAAATAAAAATTCACTCTTTATCTCATCAACACTGTGGCAATGAAGGGGTGAGTGAGGTGCTTGAGTCCACAAATCACTTCTGGAGTCTCTGGGCTTAACAGTGTTGCAGCTAAGGTGACCCCTTCTTCAGACATAATAAAACAGAGAGAAACATAACATGCCTCCATATTGCTCGTGTGGTGTCATCAAAGTGTCCGCCAGCCCCGAAACTCATAACCTGCGCGTGCCCTTCGACGAGAGTGTGTGCTGTTTTCAGTGTGTCCTCGAGAATGTGAATGCGCCTCCGAGGAGTTTGATTATTTCTGAAGCTTTGGCCGCTGGTTTCTTCAACGATCTTTCTTACATTTCAATAAAATTGCAAAAGACAGTGCTTAACGCTCAAGAAAAATAGGAACTTAATCCACCAGCAACACCTGAGAGAGGAAGTGTGCAGTAAAATCATATTATATTAATATTTTTAAAGGTTAAAAATCCAGAAATGATCAGCTCATATTTCTCTGTCTTTAGCTTCTTTCTACAAATTCAGTCTTCTGCTTTAATTTTTTGGAAATTCAGAGACAGATTTTCTACTTACACACACACACACACACACACACACACACACACACACACACACACACACACACACACACACACACACACACACACACACACACACACACACAGTAATAATGAATAACTGATTTATTTGGTAAATCTTTAACAGTTTCAGAACAAAATTCTTCGCACTGAATGATCGATAATTACAGCCAATATTCACACACACTGTGAGGGAACTTCTATGTGCTTACATTCAGAAAGATAAATAGCTGGGTGTCACAGGTAAAAAGAAGACAGGATCAGGGGTACAGGGAGGTCGTGGTAAAGAAGTTATGCTGTTAAAGGTGTACACAGGCACAGAACACAGAGAATGGCTACTTTTTCAATGGAGTAAATCCATCTCTAATAGGTAATAGTACATGTTTTGAGGTAACAGAGACAAGCAACATTTACGTCCAAACCATATCTATATATTCTTAATGATTTCAAGCTCACAAAGTTATTCACATTGTCATGTGTTTTCTCCTTTGAAGGGATAATTACCCATGTGAACTTTGATGTCTTTCTAGTGATATACCATCACTTTCGGCCCAATAATTACTCATTTATACAGCATGGATGATAGAGATAAAGTCTACATGTGCATGCTTAGTCCCCAGGATATAGTTACCTCCTCAGTTGCCACTATGCCACTGGAGTGAAGAGAGACTAGAAATGGGACTGAGGCAAGAAACACTGATGGGCATGTGCATCAGTGTCTGACAGGCAAGGCACGGAAAGGAAAGAGGGAGGAGGGGAAAGTGCAGAAGAGGGGCTGGGGGAGAAAAAGGGTGGTGACGAAAGGGATGGGTTGCGGAATGGAAAAGCTACAGCAGAAACCAAATTTGTGGAACAGTTCTATGACAATACCAAGTTGGTTCTTTTTGTTTCACTTGTTCAAACTGTCATTGGATTTTCACTTGTCTTGATTTCAACATATTACACATTTATAATTGTTCAGTATGGACTTATGTGTGTTTGCATGACAGAGTAAGGTGCAACCAAACATTTTTTTCCCCCGGGCTGCGCCCAGAGCTGGCAGCAGACACGCTGAATGTCAAAAATGTGAATATATTGAACTATATATCTGCGAATGTGTGTGTGTTGGTGTCATGGTGTGCTGAAGTCTACTCATGTTACTGTATGCAGTCCATGACGTGTATCTGCAGCGTGTCCATATCTGGAGCCTGGTACTTGCACTTGGGACAACATAAATCCGGCAGCTCCTCAGATCCAGCTGCCCCTTGATCACTGACTGGCACCAAACCCTGATTACGGAATGATGAGGCAGCAGGTACCGTGTTAAAAGCTGGACCAGGGAACACCCCTAAAGAGAGAGAAAAAAAAATCAGGTGGGAGAAAATAGACACTGACAACAACGTCAACGTTCTGCGGTGTCCTGTTTGTGGCAAGCAGCTGAATTTGAGTCCAGGGTTCGCTCTCTTTTGGCTCAGTTTGTTTTGTCATCACCAAGATCATATTCTATCAACACAATCCTAGAAGGTATTTTATTGTAGTATTTTGAGAGTAATTAATTTGCCAAAAATGAGATAAAACATACAACAAAGTTAAAGATGAGACTAACAATTATTATTATTATTATAATTATTATTACTACTCGTGCAGTGCCCGTTCTACACATGCCATAAAGACAGAGATTTCTCCTCTTACCATATTGTGAATGGGAGATGTGTATTATAATTTTAAAAATGATGCTTCTTTAACACGCTCTGGAGCTTTGTCAGAATTATTCCTTGTCCTTAAGAGTCCTCCTCAAACAGTTCTACTGTACAGAGCTGCACTTTTTATAAACAGTCTATGATGCAGAGGGAAGTTAGAAACCTGTATTCATCCTACCTGGTTTACCTGCAATGAAGATGTTATAGTCAATATTTGAATTTGCTTTCTTACTGTTCATGTGTGGTTCATACACAAGTTTGAATGATCGACTGAACTTGAGTTATTTTTTAATACATTGCATATCCGCAAGTTCAGATGTCTGTTAAGTAATCTACACAATCTTCAGACCCAAGTTCACAACTGTATTTCAGCTATTGAGATATAAAACATTACAGCAGCAAAACTATTTTTGTATCACACAATATAACAATCTGTGTGTGTTAGTTTTCATGTACCTTTTGGAGGAGGAATGTGTGGCGCCCGTGGTGGAAAGTCTTCCACATGCCGCTTCTTCATTAGCTCCATACGTGCGCTACAGAAGTGAGCACAGACACATTTCATCAGTGCTTTCAATACAAGCACGGTACAAATAAAGATACAGCTCCAGGTGTGACATGAAGCTGCATCTGATCAGCAGTTGAGATCTGTCTCCCTGCTGCGGGGCTACAGTAAGATGTGAACTTCCTCTGCCACAAAAAAGCAAATTGCAGGAGAACACTGCAGGAGCTGTAAAACCAGTACATACATAGTTCAATATAGCTTCCCCTTACCCATATACAGGGAACAAATAATTCTCATAATTAAAATGGGTCATGTGTCATCCACTTACCGTGATGTGGCTTCCTGTTTGAGCCTGTCAATCTCAGCCATGGCCTGAGTAAGTTGGTCCTGCAGCTCCTCTTTCTTTTGGTTCAGCTTCTCTCTTGCTTCTCGCTCTGCTAGGAAATCTGCCTTGTAGATCTCAGCCTGAGAAAACACACAGACAGCGACAGAGGGAGGGAGATTTGACGTTAGAATGCCATAAAGATGTTATGGATGATACAATATTTGTTGTTTGACAATTTCTGCAAATCACTGAAGACGACAAGCTGACATTCACACCAATGTCCTGCCTTGTCTCCCCATTAACACAGATCTAAGTAAAAAACAATAACACTGAATAAAGAAAACAAGTCTTAATATAAGAAAATATTAGAAAAATATTAAAAGAAGTATAAGGAGAAAAGGTATAAAATATATACTATTGTGTACAGCCTGCTGTGTGGATGTGAGAGGAAAACCAGGTGTTGTAGTTTTCTTTCTAGCTCTATTTTTCATTGTTGATGCAACTATTTCTAACTCTTTTCATATGAACAAACAAATGCAACACTAGGTGTCACACAATAGAAACAGAAAAGTAAGTAAAGGAAAACAACTACAATTTGAATTTGGAAGCGCTACAACACAGGGGACCACGGAGGAGGAGACTGAACCGAAATAAACAATTTTAAAAGTCAGTATACTGTATGAACAGCAGCTCAGCCAGAAGCACGGTGCTGTTTTCACCACAGTGTGTTTACAAAATAAGTCAATAACTAATAGATAGATTTTCACCAAACTTGATGGGAATATTACTTGGCAGGTTGTCTCCAGATGATTAACCTTTGGAACGTTCACAGTCAACAAACAACTATGGTCTGAAAAAACTTTATGTACGATATTGCCGCAAAAACAAGAAGCAAGCTTATATTTATCAGAAAATGATTCCCTATCATATAATAAGTGACGTCACACTGCAACCATCTGATACTAGTTTTGGAGACAGAGCAATTTTGTAACTAGGCGCACCAGTGGGACTTGCAAATATGCCCCACGTTTTTGTTGCTTTTTTAGAATCATCATGTTTAAAGGCCATCACGTGAAATACCTGGAGCGATTGAGAATTTTTTGCGTGTGCTCCCAGATTGGGAACGCGGTGGAGTTTACGCACACTCACACACACAGAGGCCCGAGGCTGCGTTTATACACGATGACAAATGAGCCAACAACATCTTGTGTGTGCTCAGTACTACACGAGACGTGACGCGCACAGCCAGGACTTTGTTAAAGTGACCTGAGCGAGACAGACACGTGATCCATCTAAGCGTGATGCTTAGCTTACCTTAGAAAGAAAGAAATCAACTACAAAGTTACTGATGACGGATCTTTGAAATGAACTAGATGAAATAAATAAAATAAAGAACATTATTTTTGGTTCCCACATCTAAAAACAACCTGTTCAAGCGGTGGGATCACAACCTGCCTACCGGTGGTAGGACTGTACCTGAGCAGTGAGGACAGGAACCGTCTCCAGTGAGCCTTTCTGTTGCTCCACCTCTTCCTTCAGTTTATCGATGAGATCCTGCTTCAGGGCCAGCGCTCGCTCTGCCTCCTCTAGTCGGCTGCACAGATCTCCTCCCTGAAGGACAAACATACAACAAACACACAAGACACATGAATGGTAAGAGCCACATGAATGAGCTAAACAGCAAAACTAATGAGAGATGTTTAACTATGTATTTACCTCACTCTTGAGTTTAGAATCATAGTCTCTGAAGAGGCACGTGTAGGCATGCTGCAGTTGTGTCAGTTTTTTCCTTAGAGAAAAAAAGAAAACTGAATTTGACCTTTTAGTATAAAATACCATATCTCAGGTATCATGCTAGAAAAAGGTGGGAATTCTGAATGAAACTGTGCGGCTGTTATCATCAGAATGACACTCTTGAATAAACTTAATAAATTACAGGTGTATTGCCTTCCTATGGAGCCCTTTATGTCCTGATTTTAAAAATCTTTTGAGGAGTTGGTGAGATAATAAAATGAATGTATTGATAAAGATATTCTAACAATTAATTAATCAATTATGTAATCCATAGCATCAGTCGATATATTGTTGTCACTTAACAACCAGTTGGGACACTACTATCTGTGTGTGTGTGTGATGCACACACTTCTCCTCTGTGACCACATGTCTCTCGGTCTTCAGGGCCTGCTCCAGGCTCTGGGTCTGCAGCAGAAGCTTGTCCATAGCCACATGATGCTGCTTCTTCTGCTGCTCCAGCTCCCGCTCTGCCACCTGTAGGGCCTTCAGTTTACTGCACAGCCTACACAGAGGTAAAGAGCAAGACATCAATAGAGAGACGACTCTATGTTCTGTATATACACATGCTGTTGTGACATGACCGCTCACTTTTCGTCCAACATTTTGCGTTCATGCTCGCTTTTCTCTAGACAGCTCTGTCTCTCGTTCAGTTCTCCTAATAGGGAAGTTGCCTGGGCTTTCAAAGCCTCACAGTCCTTGGCTAGCTGCAGAAATACAACATGTTTTTAAGTTAGTGGACTAAATGTTGATATTTGAAGACTTCTACAGCACCACCATATTTAACTTCATTCACTGTAACGTCATGGATTTTTGTCGATCATACCTGAGCACAGTCCTTGTCCTTCTGTTTCAGCAGAGCTTCAGTTCTGTCCCGCTGAGCTGAACTCTTCTGCAGGTAGTCAAGCTTCTCCTCGAGCTCCCGATACCTGCGTATAAACAACAGCCAGCTCATTTTAGTACTGACACAGGCTTCCATCTGCATTTAAATACATGTATGTATGTCTGTGTGTACATGTATTATTACAATAAACTTTATATATTACCATATTAATATAATAACAATAATTTAATTTGAAAGTCTTATCTACTCATAAGTTACAGAATTATCAGTCTGACCAATAGCAACTGATGCCGGAAAACATTAAAACAATTAACATCAACGTTATTGATCTAAAATGCAATGGAACCGAAATTAAAAGCATAAAATGGAAAATACTCAAGTTCATTAAGGTCCTCCAAACTGAACATAACTATAGTAGTGGACTAAATGCACTTAGTAAGTCACTACTGGCCCCACAAATTCATATAAACTAGCTGATTCTGTTGATCGATCGATAGATACATCGATCGATGGATAGATCTTTTATCCTGATATTTGATCCCAAAGGAAATTGTGGTGTCTTCCACTTAATTATTATTCTATTATTGAAAGAATAACTTTGTCTTAACAGAAAAACTACTTGAGACAACATAGTTACGTACAGAGTAAGCACATAAAGAATGAAACAATAACAAAACAAACAATAAACACAAACAGGGACCAAATGAGTTCAAAAGTAAGAGGAAGAGACACATGTAGACAGCAGACATGCACACAGTAAGAAAGAAAGCCACACAGAGCGGTGGGCTCACCTGCCCTGTGTGGCCTGAAGCTGCTCTGTGAGTTTAGCCAGACTAGAGCTGGAAAAGGAAACAGAAAGAGAGCAAGAGGAGGAGGAGGAGGAGGAGGAGGAGGAGGAGGAGGAGAAGGAGCCTTTTATTAAGCAGAAGTAACGCAGTGCTACTAAAGCAAGGTCAACTGAAATTCAATCAGTCCGAAGATCCAGTGACTTCAAGCCAAACACACAAGGCAAGTCAGTTTAGTGCCATTAGTTCCAAACAATGCACAGAAGTATTTTGAGTCAAAGGGAAAATATTTGGTACCAGTCAGAGGAGTGCTGTGCCTCAGAGCGATGTTGAACAACCTCTTCAGCAACACTGTTTGCCTGCGAAAACATTCACACACGCACACACACACACACTTCTTTTAGATCACCTATGTCTATCTATAACCACATGTAGTCTCCACTGGTCATAGAGACATCTGTTACAAGCAGTCGAGTTAGGTGACATACCTGATGTACCGGAGGGTAACAAGAAACATGAGCAAGTTAGTTGTCTAAAATTTTGAATCAAATTCAATACTGCTTGAAAATATTTGAAATGTGATCAAGCCTAATACACGTATTGGGGAAAAGATGCCTGTGCTGATTTTAAAGGTGGAGTAAGCCATATTAATTCTGAACAATTTGTGGAAATTCTGCTGATATCTCCTCACAGTCCACTAACTGCATGTTGTGTGTGCGCTGACCGAACACCACTGTTCCCTGATAGAAGTTAACGAGCGACTCACTGAAAAGTCGTCTTCCAGCAGTTGTCTGCAGTGCACGTTCAGTGTTTTGGAGGCAGGAGGAGGTGCAATGTATTGGTTACATATTTTACAAGTGTAGCATGCTCTCGCTAGCTTTTACAAGATGACCAGACCCAGCTTTAATGCCTCTTTGAGTTACAATCTAAAACCAAAGTCGACACTAGTGTGAGACTGAGGCCAGAGGGTCGAGTGAGAAGATGCTATTAATAATGGCTGCATGTCACACAGGGCTCTTTCCTCCTCTATCTGCTTCCGACCCGTTTCTATTTTCAAAATACCCTTTGCTGAGGGAAACAACAATAAACTCCACCTTCGCCACCACCGCCACTTTTGTCCACGCCTGTAGATTTAACGAATAAATCAGACTTTATAGATCCCCTCCCCAGGTCACTGACTGGCACAATTAATGGTCAGGAGGGAGTTAAAAATTCCAGAGAGCATTATTATTATGGGATGTAAAATTAGTGAACACGTGGACTGCTTTTCCTTTCAATGGGGCCTTTTCATAGTAGTGGGGGTAAAGGCACCTTTACGTACCCTTTTAAATAAAAAATACCTTTCAGGCTCCTTTTTAAGACAGTTTACTCACTTGTTATTGTCTGATTTGTAAATGTTCGAATTAAATTCAACCCCATTGTTTACAGAAGATTATTTGACAGTTCAGAGCTCAGCTTGTCCCCCCCCCCCGCCCCTTCTCACTGTTGCCTGGCACCCGACCCCTGCTCTCCCGTCTCCTTGGCATTACAGCCCTGGCTGCTAGCACAAAGTCCAGTCTCTTTTACAAACTGACTGAGTTTCTGTGGGTCCTGACTGTATCCTGTATGAACGCTTCATTAAAACGTGGGACAGTCATATATTGGACTTTTGGCTTTTAACAGCCGTACACAGATCAGCTTTCGTTCCGATGTGAGACGCTGTGACCTAGGGCAACAGTTGGCTGTGTGCGCAGTCATGTTGGTTTGAGACGTGCGAGTCAACACGGGTGACTCATCCTTTGAGCGCCAATTAGTGACTAATTTGACGAGCTCAATGTGGCTGGATTTGTAAGACGTTATTAGCCGCATTGATCTAGGTTAGATATCTGAAATGTATGCTCGCAATTACATTTTAAACTTAATTTCCAATGATGCTGGCTGGACATTAACTCGGCCATTTTAACAATGAATGCATTAATGTAAAAGCATTATTTTATGGTTTGTATGCAAAAAAAAATCTATATTTGTAAAGTAACTAGCAAGAGCTAAAAATAATAGTGGAATAAAAAGTACAACATTTGCCTCTGAGATCTAATGGAGTAGATGTGTAAAGTAGCATGAAATTGCAACACTTAAGTAATGCAGTCTCTCAAATATGTATCCAGGGATTAAGTAAATGTTACATTCCATCATTGTTTAACTCACATCAGTACAAACAAACAACAATAAAATGCTAATTTATTTGTCTATATGATTTGATTTCAGTTGTTCTAGTCTCATAGTCTTTAGTCTCGTATATGGGTAACAGAAGTTCAACCACCTTTTTTAATAATGCCGTGAGAGAGCTGCCCGAAAATGTACCAACCCTGTTTAAAACCATTAGTTCAATTCTACTTTACATTTCTCTTGACTGAAATGTTGTGATTTCAAATGTTTTTTTCACAAGCGCACGTTTGCATGTTCTTGTTGCTCTTATTTTCTCATGTCTCTCGTGCTCTCTGAAGTACTGCATCACTGCACTAGTTCCTCGGATAGAATTTCTCCGTGATCGGATCAAAGCGTCACCTGTGCCTGGGCAAGTTTGGTGCGTAGCTGCTCAATGCAACGCCGCATCCGTTCCCTCTCTTTCTCTCCCTCTTCTCTGTCCCACTCGAGCTCTTCGTTCTTCTTCCTCAGCTCTCTCATGCCTTCCTCCAGCTTTTCTTTGTGGCTCTTCAGGAGCTGCAGGATCTCGTTTGAACCTTCCACGGGCTGCGGGGAAAAGTGAAAGAAACAGAGACGCGTGGATGTAAAGAATCAGCACTGACAGGAGGGAGGTTAACTGAGATAGACTATTGTCACCCTAGGACAGAGATCAAGCAGGAAAGTAGAAATACACCAAGATGTAAGGTAACACAAGAAGAGTGGGTATTGACAGTGCCCCAAACTGTGTATTAATACTGTGAAGGAGAAATCTCATAGAAAAATATTTGCTGAAAAAAACCTCTTTTCAATCCAGTTCCTGCTCGGAAGTCCTAGGAAAAGACAAGGATGGCCACAAAGTGTATATTGCGAAATAGAAAAAACTACTTTCAGTTGAGTTATTGGATAATTTATAATATTTAAAGTGCTGTTGAAGTCAGTGGCTGTTTTCCGAGCAGGAAGTCAGGATTTCTGACCTGCGTGCGGTTACAGAGAAGGTGGTTGGTGAAGACTTAAACCAGACAGGTAAAACTTAAATCAAGTCTGCAGATCTGATTGGTTGAATCAATATGGAGTGAGCAGTCTCACCTGGCCATTATCCCTGCCCATAACCTCCCCCTGTACCTCTGAAAATGAGGACGGGGGAGTAGGGAGGTAGCTACTCAAGGAGACATCCTAGGCACATGGACACACCCATTAGATAAAAAATAAACAAATACATGAAAATTAAAGCCAACAACAACGCCATACATCTTACCAGGCTGCGAGGTGGTGTGGTCTGTGTGTGTTGATCCATCTCTTTGACTTTCTTTGTCTCACGCTGATCTAGAGTCTGAAAGAAAACACACCCCTTGTGAGCACCCTAATGAGGACTTATAATACTTTTCCTGCTTCTCTGTCATATAAGTGATGTTTCAACGTTGGATGTTCATATTGAACGTGGCCACAGTGGCCCCATGAGACAAAGGCTCAGGTGTCAGAGGCTGTGAACACCATTCCAGTGGGATTCATACTGATTTCAGCTTGTCACAGGTTTCTAGATTCACTCATCCATTGCCAAAAATTTATTTTTCTCCCAAAACACTCTACTAAAGAAGTATTACAGGCATTTGATGTACTCAAGCACACAACTAATCCATGGTGCTGTTATTACATATGCAGTGGTTTGGTGACAGCATAATGACACAAGCAGGATTTACTCTTGAAAGCCATTATTTTCCCTCCATTTGGCATTTTAGCATAGTTCCCTATATGAGAGAAGGCATAAGTAGAAATCTACAGTTTGTGATGCAAAGATGATATCTACATTTAGGTTACACAGCGAGGCAGGGAATTAGTGTCATATCCATGGAGTCAGAGTGCATGCAGTAATCTTTGTTGTTGCTGCCGTTTGTTCTGTCCTCTAACATTCGTGTCAGGATCAGGGCTCAAACAACTATGGACAGCAGTGAGAGGATGAGGCGGTGCTCATGAGTGTTCGGTGCACCGTCCCTCTGCAGACTTGTGGCTGTTCAGCCAATCAAAAGAATGTTGAAAATTAAGGAGGGCTGAGCTGAAATCGTCTATTTCGGGCAGAGGCTCAAATGACAGACTGCATCACAGGCAGTCTGAGAAGAATACAGACGTTTGTGACTCAAGCAGGGCAGCTCTTGTAGAAGAGTTTCTCTGCGATCATTTTAAATGCCAGTGAAGGCTCTGCCACTGTTCCTTTGCTGTTTTTAAGCGATTTTTCGTTTTGTTTCGGCTGTGTGCAAAATCACTCATAGTCCACTATATAGTGAGTTTGCCATTTTGTAGTGCTATCCAAACTTTTAGTGAAACATTGTATCCCACGGTGCATCGTGAAAAGTAGTGTACAACCAATGGTCACTAATCGAGACGCAGGGCTCTGAGGTGGTGTGTCAGTCAAAAAGGAGCAACTCTGCTTGCTGGCCCGATAAACACTGGCAGTGGATCCTGCAGTCACAATGTTGGACACTTGGTTACACTAACTTTAAATATATGACTGGCTTGCTTACACATTGCCGTAGATTCGATAGGTGTTTAAAATTGTTGCAAAATCTGCATACACATGCCGACACAGGATCACAATATATAAAATGTATATCATGTGCTAAAATGCAGAAGTGCCTGAAACAGCTGTGTGGCTCTCACCATGCTAACCTGCGGTCCCTCGTGTGGACCGTTTTTTGCCGGGCGTCCCTGCAGGTCTTCTGTCTGGCTGGAGCAGTGAGATGAGGACGAGGCTGGTCCATTTACCAGGCCCTGTAAGGAGTGGTTTTCCTGGGCCAGCCTCTCCACCAGGGCCCTGGCCTCCTGGAAGCGAGAGCTGAGAAATTCTCTTTCCTCTCTCGTCCTTCGTTGCCACCCCTCCATCTCCTCGCAGCGCTGGCGCAAGGCTAGGTTGCTTCGTCGCAGGGCCTCTGAAGGACAGAAGGGCAAAGGCAAAAAGTAGATTGATATGTAACATGGTGCCACATAAAATCAATTAAATACAAGGGGGATTAATGTGAATATAAATGTAGGCAGTTTTTCTAATTTTGTGATGAAGATATAATGTGAATTTAGGTAAATAATGAAAGAAAACTTGGATAACACAAATAAACCTTGACTGAAATCAGCACAAAGACCTTGTGAACAGCCTCAAAGACAAACTCCTGAAAGCCACCACTGAAATCAAGGCTCTCAAAGGACAAACTCATTCAGAGAGAGACCAAGAAACAGGGAGCTTGAACCAGAGCCTATATTGACTGCCTGAGTGAACTCATTGAAGAGCAGTAAGGCCCGGAATGATACACTGGAGGCAAGACAGCCCCAGGAGTTTAGTCAGGTGGAAGAGACCTGAGGCAAAAAGGTTGAGGCTCTCTAGGAGGAAAACACAGCTCTATAAGAGCAGGTTACCATGCTGACAAGCGAGCAGAGCAAGCTCCTGATTAAAGAGAAGTGAAGCAGAGGGCAGGGCGAGGTGTGAAACCATTGAGCCGAGCCTGCGCCAGGAGCCATCCATGTTGAAGATAACTGTGGCAAAAAGGTGGAGGCCCTCAACACAGAAAAAGAGGCTCTGGAGGATGAGGTAGGCCAACTGAAACAAGTACAGCCCCAGCTTACGCAAAAAGGATGACGAGCCGCAGTTGAAGATGGAAAATGTGGAGGAGGACTAGCTGAAGGGGGGGGAGTTAAACCACAGAGTTGGAGGAAAAGATGAAGAAAGGAGAGAGGAAGTGGTGGAGGTTGCTCTTCAAACACCTAATCCTTTTCCTTCGTCCCTTTACCCTGTCTTACTCCTTCCTTTGTTCACCTCTCAGTCCCAACCCTTACCCCTTACCTCCAACCTTCCTAGTGAACATCTAGTTAATGTAGAAATTGTAAATAATTGTAAAAAATAAATGTGAACTAACATATACCTCTGTGTGTCTTTGGATACAGGATGTGTGGCTCTAATCATTTACTACAGTATTGGTTTGTTTATTTATATAAATTTAAAGGTGTAACTTGTGTTCGATTTCAAGTCAACAACAGGAGTCAGAGCATCATTGTGTCTGTACGCTCTTAAAATACACTGGGTCGGCACGGTTCACTCTGACAACTGAGGGGGACAAAAATAAAATGTGATTTGAGCTGAGCTGATTTAAACAGCTCCTTCACTAATGATAATACTCCTGAATCGAATGTGTTTTAGAGCCGCTACAATGGAGTTTAGCGCTACTGTCACATGACCCTCTTTCGGAAGAATACAACCAGCGTTAGCCTAGACCTCCAGTGTGGAACACAACATGGAAAACAAATCACAAGTGTTGCCGAGCCTGTTGTCTCTGCCAACAGTTGTGGTGCAGTTCAATTCTGCATTTTACAATGAAACAAATGTTTACATGTGTAGGGGCAAACTATCATTCTAGCAATCTGTGCCAGTTCTGCAACTGGCAACCAAATGCTTCCTGCTCACACCAGCGCGCCCATGCCCAGTGTATGTGAGTGGTCATGTGATAGGTGTTTTCAGGGGCGTTAGTATGGACATGATTTGAAACAAATACAGAGCCAAAACACTTGTGGAAATAGAAGCATGTCTAACACAATCCACTTTACCATCTATTTAATTCCATCTGTAATGACTCCATGCTGAGATGTACTAAAGATGTGTCATGAGTGCTGGATATGCTACCTCTAAGCTGCTGGTTATCGCCCAGCAACCTGGTCACAACTTCGTTGGCAGCCAGCTCAGGTGGGACCCTGAGGGCGCCTCCACTGTCCTCGCCTGACATGTCCCACTGCATCGGGCCATCTGGCTGGGGCTGCACCATCCCTGTGGACACAAATGCACGTGTTATGAATACGAGTACATACATTCATCACGACATCGGACACATGGCAAATACACCTTTACTTTCTCTTTCTGTTTGCCCTTTCCTCTGAATCTGGGCCCCCTGCTCGGAGAGGAGGCCCTGTGGCCTGCTGGGGGCCGCTGATGTGTGCTGGTGTGCGGACTCCCCCTGAGCTGTCAAAGCAAGCACCGGTGGTCTGCAGGGAAACATGACGTCACCCCCGGTAACCACGAGGCAAAGAGCTTCGACTTGAGACACGCTCGATTCTGACATTCGTCAAGGAAAGTGAAACTCTTCTCGTCCCTTGCAATGCTGTTCCATGGACGTGGTAGGACCACCGGATGTTTACTACAGCTAACACCCATGTTGTTTTTCCTCCCCGCAGTGACACGGGATCGAATCTGACCTCGGTACACCTCGCTCACACACACGCACACACCAAACTCCACTTACCCCCTGTCCTGTTCCGCGTGTGTCGTTCAGAATAACACGCTGTTCTTCACATGCGACCCTGGGAGCGAGCGAGGGCTGACGTTATGTGTCCGAGCCGCTTGGTGCTAGCGAGTTAGCTTCTGCGATAGCGAGGGTGATTTAGCAAACAAGCGACGGAACAATATAAAGTCGCATACGGACATAGAGTCAGCGTATGTGTTCTGAGCGGCAGCTGGCTCGATGTCATGAAGTTGTCCTTATTCTGTGTGGCTCTTAGGATGGGTTAAGGTTATCAGTCAAGCCGAGGCGACTGTTGTTAGCTCCAGAGGACATGTGTGATACCCTGAATTCAGACTCTCAGGCAGCACTTCCTCTCAGGCTGCATGCATCCTATCGTTAAGGCTAATAGCCAACTCTAACTTGAGATTTCTCGGCTCCTGATATTTGAGGATGGCCTTCGGTAATTAATGCTATGTCAATAAGTGTAGAAACACTAATATTACGTTTCATATGACCAGGACGGAGGAACTCAAAGTCTTCTGACTTCAAGCTGCACCTGTTTAGAAAAAGCTCTACACACAATGTCCAGCATGCAGACAATACAAAATACACCACTGTGGTTGTATGCCTCTGCCAACCAGAGCAGTTTCCGTCTACATACGTTGTTCTGCAGATTCCTACAAGGTCACTGTGACCTTTACCTTTGGCTGCCACAAATCAGTTAATACCTGAGTCCAAGTGAAGGTGTTTGCCAAATGTGAAAGGATTCCCTCGAGGTGTTCCAGACAGATCGCATCAGTGAAGCAAACAACCTTGACATTTGACTTTGACCCCCATAATCTATTAATTTATCATGGAGTCCAAGTGAATGTTTGTTCCAAATTTGAAGCAATTCTTGGATGGCATTCTTGAGATATCACATTCACTAGAATGTGACAGATGGACAGACAGATAGACAACCCAAAAACAGAATGTCTCCATGCCCCTGGCTGTCATGGAGGCATAGGAAGTGACGGCATATTGTAGAAATGAGGAGGACTCACTAATGACAAGGAATAATTCTGAAGTAGCTGCAGAGTATTAACACTGGACAAGTGTTTATATTACAGTTTTACTATTTATAACTGATGTCTATTTTTTGACTGTTGTCTTTGCTGCAGTAACACAGCAAATGTCCCCATTGTGGGACTAATAGAGGATTATCTTAT